GAAATAATCTCGCAACGTCCGTTGCTGGTCTGCTTGGTTTTGTTCCTCGGCCATGTTCTTAGCCCTAGCTCGTCGTTCTCTCCTTAATGCTCGAACAGTTCATTCGATTTCTGAATCCAAAGGCAAGAGTTCCAAGCCACGTGCTTTTTGCATGCACTTACAAACACAACAAAAGAAAAATAGATAAATAAATACAAATAAAAAAAAACTTAGATTAAAACAAGATATTTCTTCACTATAGTAATCTAATTCTTAGCTGTTCAATCCCCGACAACGGCGCCAAAAACTTGTTGCAATATAATTTGACTACGCTTGCAAGTGCACAAGTCGTACAAGTAATAAAGTGGTCCGAAGACCGATATCGTCCCAGAAGGATTGACGTTAAGAATATAAACTAACTATTATGAATATCATATCTTAACTTTATCTAAGCGATCAAATTTGGATGTGATAAACTCAAAGAAAAACTAAAATAAAGGAAAACTAAATCAAAAGGAAAGATGACAGTAATTAATAATACGTGCTGAAATTGAACGGAAAATCAATATGATAAAAATGCTAGGGTCTTGACTTCACTCTATTGCGATTATGTTTCTCCGTAGTAATGTGCCTAACCTAACTCAACGTTCTCAAGAACATAGAATGATGTATATCCTTATACCCTCTCTCGAGTGCCACATAAAGAATGTGTAGGTGATATCAAGCCTATATCTCTATACAACTATTCATCCCTACCTTCATTAAGTTCCACTCTAGAAACAATTCCTGGAATTCCACTTCTCAATTTCACAACCTAAAATTATTTCGGTTACCTAGGCAATGTTTATCTCTCGATCTCACACCAACCTAAGTTGTTCTATCCGTTTCTTGATTGCTTAAACGTTCCCCTCTCGAGTATTAATCCTCACAATAAAAATCTGCCCAATTCAAAATCTCATAAAGCATGGCAATATGTAAATCATAGATTTAGCAGCAATAATTCAAAATAGAATACGGAAGAAACGAAGAGCTTAATTAAATGCACATTAAAACGTCGAAACAATAATCACAAATAGAGATTCATCTACACCGTAACAAATAAGAAAATTAGCCACACATCATGTGGTTCACAATCTCAAAATAATATTCAAAACTCAGAAAAATACAAGAAGAAAGATAAGAAGAGAATGAAGAACGCTTGGAATTCTTGAAGAATCGCTGGAATTTCCCTCCAATCCTCTCCGATTCAGTTTTTCTTCTTTTGCAAACCCTTTTTCTCCTCCTCTCCGTGGTTTTCGGCCTCTCCTCCTCATATTCCACGTCCAACACATCCCCAAGAAGCTAATTCTCGCTTTCCATAAAAGTCCATGCACCAAACTAGGGCAAAACGCGTGTTTCTAATAAAATCGGGTAAATCAGGCGACATATCCCTTAGAATAGGCGACATATCGCCTAAAGGAGGCGACATATCTCCACAAAGGAGGCGACATATCGCATCCCTCTCTGGTCCTTCGCACAGGTTTGCTCAATTTTACTCCTTTTCGAGTCGCATCGCCATCTGAAGGCGCCATATTGCCTCGTTCTCTGTCTTTTTGATCCAAAATGCCTCAAAACTCAGCGATTTCACCCTTTCCTACACACTCAAGGGAAAGTCATCAAATCCACATAATAACTTGAGGAAAAACACGTCAAAACTAGTTAAAGGAGTAACGAATGAGTGCATAAATTACGCACTCATCAGTAAGATAATTGCCCACGCTTTCTGCCAGTTGAAGAATTATGAGAAGAAATATCTGACACATGACTTAGAGTTGGTGGCAGTGGTGTTTGCTTTGAAAACTTGGCGACATTATTTATACGGGATTCATAAAAACATCCAGTCAAGTCAAAGACAATTATTTTTAGTTGACAGTACTCAACACGGTCGATGCCAAATAGCATTGTTCTATCTTTAAAGTAACTATTCATTTTTTTAATTCGTTAAGAATTCTGTCAACCAAGGGGGACTAATAAAAGTTAAAATTGAGTTCTAGATAACTCCTTAAGGTCAAACCGTTGTTATACGTTTCTCCAAGATTCCTTTTCTCCGACTCAATTATTCAGTATAACTAATAAACACGTGTTAAAACAGTGGCCTCCAAAGATCAAGCACATTAGATATGTCCGGTACTAGGATTCTCACTGTATAACCTTTTATTTCAATGGCATCAAAAAAACTCCTTATCATCTTCTTCACAATCTCTCTCTGTCTTCTGATGTACAACTCAGTGGCAAAAACATGGATAAGAGCTGGTTATTGGTATGTTGGCAGTGAATCTCCTATACCGGACATAAACTCAGCTTTATTCACTCACCTTATATGTTCTTTTGCCACTGTAAATTCTTCTACTTACCACCTCTCAATACCTTCTTCCGATGATCAATATTTTTCAAGCTTCACGACAATAGTAAAGCGAAAAAATCCGTCAATCACAACGCTTCTCTCGATCTGGAACGGTCAAGCGGAGACCTCAAAGGCCATACTTGGTGAGAAAGCGAATTTCTCAATCTTGTCCTCAATGCTTAGCAAGGCTTCAAACAGAAAGGCTTTCATTGAGTCTTCAATAAGATCAGCAAGAAGATACGGATTCCAAGGGCTGGACTTGTTTTGGTTGTGGCCTAATTCGACTTCGGACACAACCAACATGGAAATTCTCCTAAACGAGTGGAGAGATGCTGTGAACTCCGAGTCTAGAAACTCAAGTCAGTCGAAATTGATGCTCACCATGTCACTTCATTATGTGCCTGATTTTGGATCTTTTAGTTACCCAATTGAGTCCATAGCAAGGAATTTGGATTGGGGACATGTTGTGGCTTATGATTATCATTTGCCTTCAAAACAGAATGTTACTGGTGCTCATTCTGCTTTATATGACCCCTATAACAATACCAACACTGATTATGGTATAAGGCAATGGTTGAGCAGAGGATTTCCTTCTGAAAAATTGGTTTTGGGATTGCCTTATCATGGCTATGCATGGACACTTTTGAATCCCGAAGAAAGTGAAATTGGGGCAAAAGCTTCAGGCGTGGCTGTGACAGAAGACGGTTCGATGAGCTACAAGTACATCAAGTGGTATACGCGGAGTTATGGAGCTCAAATTGTTTACAATGCTACTTATGTTGTGAATTATTGTGTGATTGGATCGATGTGGATCGGTTTTGATGATGTAGAGGCTGTGAAGGCTAAGATTGCTTATGCCAAGGAGAAGAAGTTGCTTGGTTACAATGTGTTTCTGGTCACAAATGACGACAATTGGGCTCTTTCTCGCGCAGGTAGGATTTATTACTCAATGACATTCTGTGTTTCACTTACACCAATAAATGATTTATTACATAATGAAAGTTAACTGAACTTGCATTAGCTTGTAAGATGTTTAGCCAACGTTAATTTTTATTCTGCAATATCTAGAAAGTATCCGAAACTTCCTCGTAAATTTCTCCACGAAATGAGTGATAGAATCTACAATTTGGCTTTTGAGTTGATTTTACTTTGGTAGAGTTGTAAGCATTGCTTCTAATCGAGAATTGCCATTACAGTAAGATATTTCCACCTGTGTCTTTGGCAGAGTCAAAGGAATCCTCTATTGCTGTTCACTTTATTTGGGATGTTCTAGTATGGTTTTGGCGACTAATCTTGTTATTTCATCTTGTTTCGATTTTTCATAAGAAAAGGTGTGTTCTTTGATTCCTTTTTTTTTTGTTTTTTGGCTGCAAGTGTTCTTTGTTTCCTTGATAGAATTTAGTACAAAACAAAGCAAAACTGTACGGGATAAACTACAGAGAGTTTTCCAGTGTGGTAAAAATCCAAACACGTTTTCCATGTGGGAGATATTACCAACTTTTGCTCGTTGAAATATATTAAGACTGCCCAATGATTCTTACATATTTATTTTCTTATAGCTATATCTGAGGACGGGTTTTTTTTTTTTCCCTCTTTTCTTTGTTTTCTTAATGGCCTTGAAGGAAGATAGAAGTTGTTGTAGGAAGTATAACAATACCTGATTTTCTTAATTAGAATTCGGAATTGCTCACCTCTTGAGGTTCTTACTATACATTTTTTCTTGCCACTACTCACTAGAAAATATCCGATGATGTATTGATGTTGTTGAGCCTAAAGCGGCTACATTAGTCCGTCAATATCCGAATAAATATTTTGACAGCATATAGATATAAACATAGAAAAGACTGAAAGAAAAGGCATAAGTATGCATTGCCATTCTACAATCTTGCAGTGCATTACCAAATAAACTAGGAAAAAGGAGATGCAAAAATCCTTGTCCTATGGACTATGGATTCTCACTGAGATTTGGAAACTTATTGCAGCTCATGGGGAAGAAAATGAGCAAGGAAACAAGAGGCGGTTATTGCTGATAATCATGATTCCAGTTGCTATAATCATAATTTTGCTATCAATGATTATATGCTATGTTTCATGGAAACCACTGAAAGCAAAAGGTAATTCTATGAAATGCAAGTTGGTTTTCTATACTTAACATGACGAAATTTTAACTCAAAAAAACAAAAAATCCTTATGTTTCTTCTGGTTGCGGGGATTATAGTTTTAGGCAACTTATCATCAGCAAGGAATGCTGAGAATCTTGACAATGATGCTCCAAATCCGCAAGTGTTCAGCTTCAACAAAATCAAAAAAGCAACGAATAATTTTTCACTTGAAAATAAGCTTGGAGAAGGAGGATTTGGCATTGTGTACAAGGTAAACAGAGATATCTACTATTATTTTTTTTTTTATATACTGCGGGGTCTATGGCTCCCGCTTTATATGTTAAGAAGAAATAAATATTATTAAGAAATGAGAGTTTTTCAATTTTTTGCAAATTCTGCTTACATTTAGCCTTTTATCAAAGAGTGCTAAAACTAAGTCTGAATTCTCTATAGGGTAAACTGCCAAGAGGCCAGGAAATTGCAGTGAAGAGACTATCAAAGACGTCGAATCAAGGAGTTGAGGAATTCAAAAATGAAGTTACACTTACTGCAAGATTACAACATGTAAATCTAGCCAGAGTACTCGGATATTGCACCGAAAAGGAAGAAAAGATGCTGATCTACGAGTACATTCCAAAACATAGCTTGGACTTTTACATTTTTGGTCTGCACTCTTTCCTACTTATCTCATGTTAGAACGTTTTCATTGAGAAATCTGGTTTAATGCCAATTGAACTCTATGCTATCAGGAAAATCTTAATGTTTTTTCATATGCTACAATGTAGATCCTATCCAACGGCATCAATTAGATTGGAAACGACGGGTTCACATTATTGAAGGGATTGTTCAAGGGCTTTTGTATCTCCAAGAATACTCAAATTTCACAATAATTCATCGAGATATCAAAGCAAGCAACATTCTACTGGACCATGACTTCAATCCCAAGATATCAGACTTTGGAATGGCTAAACTCTTTAGGAAAGACGAACTTGAGGCAAACACAGACCGGATTGTCGGAACATAGTAAGTAAAATTAACTCTCTGAGTGGAATCTTTCTGGTTATAGTGTTTTTATCTATTATGCACTCTATAAAGTCATTAAAAAAAATGCAACGCAGTGGCTATGTTCCACCTGAATATGTACGGAAAGGAACGTACTCCATGAAGTACGATGTCTATAGCTTCGGAGTTCTGCTTTCGCAGATCATCAGTGGAAAGAGGAACACGCAATATTACGGACCTAGTGAAAGTTTGCATCTTTTACAATATGTAAGGTTCCGTTTGTTTTGAGAGTTCTGACTTAGTTTTGGATCATGTTTCTTGATTCGTTATAATATTTTTCTCTCACATGAAATTTAAATTTCAAAAATCAAAATCACGAATTATGATTCTGAACTCGTGAACTAAATATCAAGTAACTCTGATATTTTTCCATATTAGTGTTGAAAATCAAATTTATATATTAGTACTATCCAACTATACCAGGCATATCAAACGTGGGAACGCGAGAAAGGAGTGGAATTTTTCGATCCCTCACTAGACGATTCGTCTTCGCATTGTAAACTAAACATTTGCTTGCAAGTAGCTCTACTATGTGTCCAAGAAAATCCAGAGGACCGGCCTTCAATGTTGGACATATTTTCAATGCTTAGAGACGAAACCAAGGCCATTGCTACTCCAAAAAAGCCAGCTTTCACGGAGAAAAATGTTGGGAATGTGGAAAGCGCATCCACATCCCAGAAAGCGAGTTGTTCGGCTAACTATTTTTCAATTTCTGATGTTGTACCGCGGTGATTGTGCAGGCTCCGTTGCAGAAACTTATGTCACAGAAACTAGTGTTGGTTTTTGTTAGTTATTATGTGTTGTGTATATGAAAGAAAAATATTATAATAAAAAAGTTAAATTTAAATTTTTATAATAAAAAATATTGTACTAATATGATTTAAGTTATAATTTGAATCATGAAAAGAATAAGATTTAAGTTTTCAGCGCAAAAATGTCGTCAGTTTCTACTATAAGTTCCTTATTTCAGTAAACTATTCCAGAAATTGTGAAGAATAGTATACTATGCCTTAAATTATAAGAAAAAACTAGAAAATTGTTATCATATATACATTATTCTATGTGGCAAAAGATTGGATTGGTGTGTCTGAAAGGAAACAAAAATAATTCATTTTAAAATGTCACATTTGAAACACAATTAATTAAAAAAAAAAAATCTTTTGTGCTCGATGAGAATTTATCCCCATCAAACGTAAGTAACAGTAGGACCCACATGAATAGTGTTGAAATTTTGAACGAACCGTCCGTGACCACCGAAAAATCTAAATTTTTACCCAAGTACCGAACCCGAACTGCCCGAAAATTCAAGCTGCCCGACCCAACCCGAAAATTGCCCACGGACGGGCTTCGGGCAGGGGGTGCCTACCCGTGCCCGGTTGGGCTGCCCGATGCCCAACCGGCTACCCGAATTTTTAAAATTTTTTATAATATATTTTTATGTTGTATTTGTATAATTACAATGTGTATATTACAATTTGAAATTTGAAATGAACACACGAGCTATATAAAAAAAATTATTTCTTCCTTGATTTTTAAATTTGTAATTCATGATTGCCTCATTAAAAACCTTACCAAGAAAAACCCAATTGGGATAAAAACTTGGTAAGAAAAAAAGAGTGCAATCATTGTGGGATGAATTACAAATTTGACGAACTTACAAAGTCTATACAAGATTACAATAACACTATACAAATTAGAAATTACAAAGTAAATAAATATTTACAAATTAGAATAATAAAATTTAATTTGAAGCAGAAGGATCGTCTTGAAAATTAAAAGTTAATCTATTAAATTCGTCGATCCATTCTTGGTTTGCCGGTGAGATTGTATCGTGTAAGCGTTGGTCGGAACGGTCCCAATCCT